ATGATCGTGATAATGCACTATATACATTGGGAGATGACGGTGTCATTGATGTCGGACAGCCTGGCGTATACTAAAAAGATTGGGAGTATCCAGGGATTGTGCATCAGTATTACAAACTACCCAATCGCTATGAAAAGCAGACGGCAGAGTTGAAGGCGGGGTTGCCCATTCAAATTAGATTACGGAAGCGGAGTTGAACAAAGTCGATATTGCCGCCATTATACCGGCGTTTTCAGAACTCTATAAGTGAAATGAAATTAGCTGATGAATACCACCTTTCTGTCAGCTTTGAATTTCCAGTAGACTGATTATTTTAAAAATAATAAGTGTGTCTATGACGTCATACTTTGAAAGTGATGTAAAAGTGTTTGAAGTAGTATATACTGCTTTGATAAACTGATGGTATTGAGTGACCTGAAAACATCAATATATATATATAGTAAACAAATCCATTTCTTGACATATGCAATATCCGTTAAACCAAATTGAAGTAGAGGTCGTCAGAAGGTCAACGTTTCCATGCATCTCCACTCGTCTGATCCATTGTGCGTCACCAAAGACATTATCTCGGGGTTGTCAGCCTTCGTCTTCTCTCCATAACCCCGGGTTGCTAACTATTCTACCCCTCTGTGTTCTTGGGTTGTCTGCCCCTCTTCCCCTGCGTATTCATGAACGTTGACCCTCCGTAAACCTGGGTTGTCCACCCCTTTTTCCAACCGTAAACATTAGTTGCCCGTCCTAATTTACTATGTAGTCTAAATATAGAGGGGTATTTCTAATTGTTTAAAGTAATAAAAGAAGTCGGCTACAACTAAATCAGATGATCAGATTTCCTCAATTTTTGTTTATGTTATGCTATTTTCACAAATAACAAATAAAAATATATGATCACCGAACTACTTCTCCCACGAAAATTTTTAATTTAATTTTTCTGTTGGTTTCTATGGCCAAAAAAAATCAACAACAAAAAAACATGGAATTCTATGGATATTATTTTCTAATACAAACAATATTTTAAAAAGAAAATATTTATTTGTTGATGTGTTGTACTATCTTATATAATGTACCAATGGTCAATAAACAGAGCAAACATATATTACTGTAGATTATATAATTGTTAATATAGATCATGATAACTGCACTCCATAATTGTATTGCCAGAATCCCACGATAGTGATTTTCCATGATCTATCTAAACATATAGTCTTTAAAATGCAGCTGATAATATCTTTAAAGCAAGTTTATATTTCCTTGCAATTAAAATACAATTCATTACGAACAACCTTGATGCATCTATTTTGCCTGCGGGAAATGAAAGATACTCTGGTACGCTGGGTTATGATTGGTCCCGTAGACGTACGCTGTGTGCTTATTGGTCCCATAGTTGTACGCTGGGTTCTGATTGGCTGAGCGCCAGAGAGTCTCGAGACTTTCTTTCCCCTCAAATAGGGTTCCATTCTCAACAACCATGGTATTTGAAGCAGTGGTCATGACGACGGACCCAAAGCTTTACTTGCTCTCAGCGTGATTTCGGTGTTGCATTTAAAGTGTATTACGTCATCAAATTGTAGACTTGTTCCGAAATTGTTCTCGCTAACCGGCACGGGGTCGCATCACGTAACTAAAAGTTTGTTCACATTCAGAGGTACTTGAAATCAAAGATTTACTTATCAAGTAATGGAGTGATAGATTTTATTTGATGCCCAATTTAGTCATTATATGACTAGCTATGAGCTCGGATGAGGAAGATGGGTGATTTGAAAAATATCACGTCATTCAAAACCCGGAAATAGTTATTTTGTGAGATTTAATAGTCGTTGATAAAAAAAAAAAGCAGTATGCTATATGTAATTGTATCTGGCAGTTTTATAGTTAACTAAAAAAGTCCGTTTTTGACCAATATAAAAATGATTCATTATAGACTGTCACTATTACGTGTGGCAAATCGGTACACGGGTCTGAGTGGTATTTCTAGAGTCAGATTCTATCACGGTGGAATTCTACCTTTCTTTCAATTTTGTCACGTGATTCACAGCTGTGAGTGAATGGAAACATTGTAGCTTGCAGGAAATTCAATTTTAGAAGAGAATAAAATCGATATATGCGGGAAACGAAGTAAATATGCAGTACCGAAAAATTTCGACATCGACTCTATGCAATGTGTTATTTTTACATAATGCATTACAGGGGCGTGGTCATCATAAACCGGCAATGTTTAAAATTGAGGAAGGGTTTATAGTTGTAAGTGTTTATATTCTGTATGACCGTAGGCGATTGTAGTGTATGACTGTCATTTGTAAATTACAGTGTGGTGTGTATACATGTATACCTGAAATAATCAATACCGAACAACTGTATTGTACCAGTAGAAAGCATATTGGAGTGAATACACGAGAATCCTTGTGGGAAAAGGTCTTTTGTAAAGCTGTGATCAGAACATTGTGCGGCGGTGTGTTTACTAACAAGAGTGACTAACAATGGTACAGTGCTGCAAACATACTACAAATTGAAAATAAACCACTTGGCAAGGAATCCCTGTCAATGTGTTAACTGATATCACGCATGGTGATATGGGAAACCCTTTGTCTGGTTTCGGAAAATGCGCTATGGCCATCACTAGTTTGCTGTGGCGGGTAAGCTGCACGGTATAGCTGCATAAACCGAAGAGCAAGACTTAGTGATTTTGCACACGAACCCTACACTGTCCGGGCACGGACTCTCATGCCCATATGAAAGTTATTCAAAAGTATTATCACAGGACTTGACACTATTAGCTATATTTCTACAACTTTCTGAAAATCTGGTTAATTTAATTATTATTCCCGGGGTTTTCGTGTCATTTCCGGCCATGTGGGAGTATTTGAATGTGATAGTAAAATTATTCCCAAAAGTGAAGAAAAACAGAAATAGTGTAGAAAGAGTGGTCACGTGAATCTCAGAACTGGTACCAGTTTCTTTCGAAGGTCTGTGCACTTTGCCGACGGCATCGTTTGTCATCAAGAGGTACAAAGAGCAGTGAGTAACAAAACTATGCGTGCCACTTCTGCAAGCGTCGATGTGTTCGGCAGCGGCAAATACTGAAGTGGCAAGGGAAATGACGCAAATGCATTGAACAACGTTTATTAATGATGGTATTATTCAAAGTCATTCGTCATTGAGGAAGGGTGACAGACCATCACCCCGATTCCGTAGTGATTTGCATTCTGTAAGTAAATAGTAATGAGACGGGCGCATTTGTTTTCATTAGGGCGAGTATTTGGCCATTTGATAGAATGCAGGCGTAAAGAAAGAATTTGTCGCAGTAGGCTGTTAGAACAATAACAGAATAATGAGCGCGAGTCAAGCGGAACAGCCACTCTTTTGTAGGCCAGGCTACTCACACTGAAAGCTTCTCTACGAGACCCCCTAACTTAGGAAAAAATAAACATTTAATGTAAACCACCGTGTTCAAACCATAAAGATCAACTATTTCTAATATTCACGGCGGATACACTCGGAATTTAAGAAGACAAGAATTTGGCGAGAGCAAGTTAGACAAGGGCCTGTAGTAACTTACGTACATTGTTCACAAACGTGTGTATAATGAACACAATCATACAACACCGGTACTAATAATATACTAATTTGTCTATCAATATTTTGTAAATAGTGTATTTTGTTTACTACTGTGGTCATCCAATTGGTGATTGTGGGTGCAAGTAGCTTTGGAAATGGCTAAGTGGCCTTCTGATTTGCATAATTTGTAATAGATGGTTGCCTTATGTACGTCAGTGAGGCGCTAATACACGGGGTTGGGTATAAAGCTATGTTCGCTAATTGCTCCTCTGTACGTCTCACAATGAAACACTATTACAAACACATCGACAGTATATTCTATTCATGTCTTGAAAGAAAGGAAAATAGTCGCGTCTATTTTCATTCTTGTGTTCCCGAAATAAAAACAGGAGTACCTACATGGTTGGCAATTTTTAAAGCATTGGCTCTATTTGGGTTGTTTGAGAGCTCTATTCTATGGAAGTCTTCATAGCTAATGAATTTGCTTATCGGACAGCCTGGTGCCTTTTTATCCCCAACAATGACTTTTTTTTCGATTGGATTTGGGTAATGACGCGGCAGGGCTGCCTTTTTTTCTACTGAGTTCAGCTAAGAATAAAATGTGCACTCACTCACATGGACAGACTTAGGTGGCCTTCGGTAGGGGAGCGCAGTACGTCGCGCTGACAAACGGCTTAGGTAACTCGTTAAAATCGTCCACTGCCGTGATGAGAAGACTTCCTGCTGGCAAGTGTGTTTAGTTATGTTTGTATATTCACAGTATAAATATAGTCTAACCAGAATCACTGTAAATGGATTGAACCGCGTACGCATAGTGTCGGCCAGCTCTGTGCGTTTTTGAGACTCTTTCACTGTTCAAAGCCTTAATTATATTAAGCTTGCATGGCGCATAATACAACTTTCTTCTATTCTCTGCAATTCAATACTTAGTTTTTGGTTAAAAGCACGAGTATTGAGGGCAAAAGAAAAGCCTCGTTTTTGTGTTCCCTTACTTTTTTTGATTTACAAGTAGTCAGTGGCATGTTAGTCAGCCCGATAGTATCATATGCCTGAGAGTGGCAGCCACAAAGGCAATAAAAGACATTTGTAGTTTTCCTATGAATGACCAGTTGCACGTAAACTAAATTGGCAGAAAATGCTATGTATTGTAGAAAGCCGTCTTTTTGTTGTCAAAATTCTATTCCGACTGGAGAAAATAAGAGAATTTAAGCAGGGGAGAGTGAACTCGGCTTAATATTATCAGCTTTCTTTCAGGGTCAAAATAATAGCGTGAAAACGGTGTCTTAATTTGACAATGCTGTGTGCAACTCGCAATTTCTAGAGCGGTGCGACCTGATTGTACCGCAATTGTTGCCACATGAGGAAATTATCAAGATTGGCCACCTTTGTCATGTGAAATACCCCAATAAAATAATAGCACTAGAGATCTATAGAATTAGGCATAAAAATAGTAAAATGTTACTGTATTTTAATATACATAGATACACTTATAATTAGGACTCTTTACATTCACGTAAAAAGATAACTCTCGAAGAAACGACTCATAAAAAATGTAGTGTTCTTCCAACAAAAATAATATATTCTCTTGTTATAGGTGTTCAGTTGTTGCTTCTAGCTAGTAGGTAGACAATTGTACCTTGCACCCCTCTTGAAATGTACAAACATGGTTCGTTCTTATTTGTCGTTACGTTTCGATTATTCCATAATAGACGAGTGAAATTTTGGAATGGGACCCATATGATATAATTAAAATGGAAAGATCTCAACGCGTTGGTGAATAGGTTGTCTATAATCCGTCTCTAATCTATTCGACTCAAAAGTTCCCAGCTGTTGGCTCCGCAATGGTTAAATTCACTTTGCTTTAGTCGGTTTTAGTGTTGACGTTTTAGGTCATTTGTGACATACGGGGGGGGGTCTGAGTTTGACACTTATGACCGATCCAGACCAAACACAATTAGGCCGCCCAATTGTTTGCCGAATGTGCCAAAAGACAATTCGCAAACAAGTGACAATTTGTAGGTGATAATTACTTTGTTGGTCACCTGACAAAACGCCGTGTTCTATCTACAGCCTATGCAAACAAAGCACCTAGGTTTTCACTTTACTCATTCAATTTTTTTCATAGTGTTTGAATGTTTCCATCAGCTCGCTAACTAGTTTAACTGTTAACAATATTGTTCACACAGCAGTCTCATTTCCCCTATGGACCCCGTTGGCTCTGATCTCGTATTTGGACTTAGCATGTGGCAGAATCCTCTGCGAAAACTTTCTCCACGACGATAAAGTTTTTGATGACCATATCCACATACCGCTTGTGATGCCTATGACTAAAAGCATGAACATCTTAACCATGAACACTTCAATATTCGGTCTCACCTCATCATGGAGCCAAGCTTGTCTGTTCGAATGTTCGTAAAAATAACATGCTATAACGATAGTGGCAGGCACTGTATAAAGTACTGAGAACACGCCAATTTTTACCATCAGTCTTTCTAATTTATCAGTTTTTGTACCATCCTTTTGCATTATGTTTCTTATCTTGAAGAGGGAAACAAAGCCAGCAAAGAGGAACAGCGTACCGATAGCGAGATATGTAAACAAAGGCGCTAAGACAAACCCTGTCAGTGCATCTAAGTTTTGGTTGCCCACATAGCAAAGTCCCGTAAGTTCGTCGGCGTCTACAACCCGCATAACCAAGATTATAATAGTTTTGACAGCGGGGATTGCCCAGGCAGCGAGATGGAAATAACTGCTGTGCATTTCAATCGCCTCATGTCCCCATTTGAGTCCGGCCGCCAAGAACCACGTAAATGCCAAAATCACCCACCAAATGGAACTGGCCATACCGAAGAAATAAAGTAGTAGAAACACTATGGCACAGCCTGTATTTTCGAGGCCTTCCAATATGAGGAACTTCTGTACGCCATCGTCATCACAGGCGATAACTGGCTTTCCGGCGATAAGTCGGATGATGTAGGCAATACTATAAATATTATAACACATAGATAAAAATATAATTGGTCTCTCTGGATACTTAAACCTGGCTGAGTCGATTAAAAATGTTAACACAGTAATAGCGGTTGATACAAAACACAAGCCAGCCCATACAGCCATCCAAATATCGGCGAACTGTTTTTCATCTTGCATAAAGACGTGGTCCTTGTCACAAATTAAGGCACATTTCTCGGATCGTTTAACGTAGTAATAACTTTCAGGACTCCCCATATCCTCACAATTTTTACCGGGATGTAATCCAGATTCGTCTGTTTCATAGTACACGTGGTTTGAAGTTATATGTCCGACTGGTGGATTCCCCGTTGGCCCCACTCCTGGTCCTTCCATGCACATACTGTCCTGGTCATTCCGTGCTGGAAACTTGGAACAGTTGAGAGCGGCCGGCCAGGGGAAACCGAACTCGTTTAATACCGGTTCACATTGCGATTTCACAAGCTCACACATAGGTCTGCAGGCTCCGATCGGCGTAAGTACTTTCTCGTCGCACATTGGGACGTAGACCGAACAAAGAAAGAAATGAAGTTGTTCAGAACAGCCGTATTGTACCAACGGTGTAAAGGTTTGGAGCTGGAGTTCAGCGTCCTGCTGTAGTTCGTGTCCAACTAAATTGGGCATCTGTGTGATATTGTAGCCCAGATCCTTGCACATTGATATCTTGATGGGTTCACAGTGAGGCTGGTTAAGTTCCAGTTCCATGTCTAAATTCTGCGAGTAGGTAGATGGAGGCGAGTTCATTACTAATACTAGCATGTAGCACGTTAGACGTACAACGTAAACAGAGATGACCCCCATCCTTGTAGGGGTTTTGTGAACGTCAGTTGATATGTGAACTGTAGCCCTGTAACGTTGACCTGATCTCTAGTATATTAGGGGTCCACACTCACCGGTTCACCTGCCGAACAAATAGACAAACAGTTAGTAGTGGCCATGTCGTCAACTCGCTGTTAGCTCTAGCGAAACCACCACAGGCCCTGCAGCGCTGCCAATAAAATACCCCAAAGACAACCCGGTCACTTGAGCTGCATTCGATCACTTCTCTTAGCCGTCATAGTTTTGTGAGGCTTTACAAAATGGAAGTCCTCTCTAATCACCCCAGTATTTAGTTTTGTGTCATGGTTTAGCGAACCATTGGTTTGTTCAGGTACTCTTGCCCCTCCCACTCCGCCTAGTGCTTACTGTCTGACATCTCGCAGCCTGCTCCTATTGGCTAATATACCATCAAAAGACTGCATCAATTAAATTAAACTTGAGCCCCTTTCTAATCCATTCTCAACGATTAATGTGATTGTTTCTTCCTGCAAGTCTGTCATTCTGAGCATACAACATTCCTTTTTATACTTTAGCACGCTTTTAAGTCCAAGGCGGCGTCGCCAGCCACCTACATGCTAGACAGACGAAAACGGATTGTGAAACACGCGCTTGGCATCAACAGCTCATTGGTCGACATCATATTTTCATAACAACAAGCCCTTGACTAGGCACACATATTTTTCACACCTTGTTAAGTTTTGTGCGCCTAAACTCAGCGGGACGTTTGCAGTTATTCCGATCGTAAATTACAGACAAACGATCGGTAAATCACAGAGAGACTGCAGAGCGGAAACACCGTTATACCAGCGTGTGAGAAAACCCAATTACAAATGTATTGATAAAGATCGAATTTCAGCGAAACTACAAATAAACAATATTTGTACGCATCTGTTGTCAAAAATCCCCGACTCGGTCTGTCATTACACACATCAACGCTCACTCCAATATAGTTACTTAAAAATTCACGTTCTCGGTTGTTTTAATCCATTACAGAAGCTATTCCATCTCGGTTTACACTAGCCTGTCTGTAAATTATTCCAACAATGCAAAGCTTTGCTTCTCATCAAGCGAAATAGAACACTGACGATCGCTTAACGGGCACACCAAGAGCCCTGTCTAAGTTTACACTCTAGGCGTTTAGACAAGCCTGTCTCTCTTGCTATGTGAGCTGCATGCGGCGAAGGGATGTATTTTCTGTGGTAAAGATAGCCTTATCCCTACTCCCCGCCAGCCGAAACGTATTCTACACTGTCTAATTGCTCACATTGTCTTGTATTTTGTGCCAAGTTCTCGATAATCCGCCTCACCCCGTTAGTGATAACCAGATTGGATTATACCCCCCTTATATCCTCTTGGTTTCCCGCGGTTTACGTCTGGTATGAATTTTAAAATGTAGGCCCATGCATGGAGCCCTGTAGTCCATGTGTTGCTTCTTATTTATGGCGCAAATTATGCTATCTTTTAATTGTCCCTATTGTCAGGTATATGTCACGAAGACCCGCCTACTGTACAATATCACCAGACGTCACTTTCAATTTGTTGCGTTCCTCGCAAATTGCGCCACCATAGTCGAAATCAAATGGACAAACAACCGAAATTGTATTAATTCTTTGAACCATAGATTCTACAATAATGTGAGGTCTGTGTATGAATAGTTTTAATTCATTTAAATCGCAAAATTAGTTTTTACCAGTGTTAATACTAATATTAGAGTGTGTATGTTTCGATGCAGCCAGTCAGTGTAGCCCGATACTTTACTCTGGTCATGGTGGTGTGTATCTCGTGATGATGGATGGTCTGGAACTGGAAGGTGATATTACAACACCACACACTTACTGCGTGTTTTCGGTTAAACAACGTAAACAAAACTCGTGACAAATTGGGCCAAACCCCAACTGGCAAACTCTTGTGCTATCCGCCGGCTCAGCTCTGCTCTAAAATTATACTCCACTGGAAAGTTGACAAGTTGTTTCTTTGTCCGGTTATAACACCGTGTGAAATGGATACGTTCACTTAGATTTAACCAGTCGGTGGAATACTCTAACTGTAATCTACGAGTTCATTTATCTTTGCTTTTTTTGGCATGACTGTCATTCCCTTAGAAAACACAAACAAACAGCAAATCGCGGTCGAATGGGGCTTTTAGCATGCTATCATATAGTATGTATGGTGACAGAATTGATAGATAGGAATTTTGTACTCAGTGTACAGCAGTGTTTAATGAAACGTGAAGGGAAATACCAGGCTTCGCTTCACCAAAAATCTACAGTCACAAACTTTCCAAAGCAGCGTATGAAATTTCCCCAGCACTATACCAAGTTTCTTGCTAAATGCCTCTTTACTGCTTTCACAGGCCCTATTCAATTTAATTACTATTTGATAAGGTAGGCGGTAGCAGTAAGCGATCGAATTACTTGCTATGCCATTTTAAAGGTCTCGTATATCAAAAACAATCCCAGTTCAATCCACAATCAAGACTCTTTGTTCCCGGCTATGTACTAGTATTTTATGTCCAGTTGACTGTATATGGCACGATTTATACAACGTTTTGTTTATTTCATGGCCAATGTCGTAAACACGCCAGATACCGCGTTCATCGCGCATTATCAATCAATTAATGAAACCGGCACGTTCCGATCATTACGTGTTCTGTTTTAGCTAGCTGCCGATTGCGTGGCTTAACTTCGGCTGTAACACGAGTCAGACTATAGTTGTTAGCCAATAGAAGTACAAGTTGAAAAGGGCAACGAAGAATTAGCGTTTCTTGACTGCGATGATTGAGTTGGCATCAGTACTATGATTATTAAAGGTGCAGTTTGTATAAACAAGGTTTCTCGACAGGGCCACTTTGATGTGGGCGTCACGACCGAGCCACTTTGCTATGGGCGTCACGACTGGGCCACTTTGCTGTGGACCTCACGACTGGGCAACTCTAGTATGAGTGTTAAGCGCTATGATGACTTCAGTTGGAAACATGCTGTCTTATAAGTACATTTATCCTACGCTAGCCTAAAACGTAATGATATGAGAGACCTGGATAAAATGATGATTTCAATACATTGAAGTGCTAATTGAATGGGCGTTTTCTTCTGTTTCCACAGCATGGGACAATAAAGCTGAAAACAATAGGGGTACAATTAAACGGGAATGAATAAAACCAATTACCATCGAGTGAGATGTAAATAAGCTGTTAAAAGCCAACTGTTGTTCACCACAGATACCTACAAACATGTAAACATCGATCGTAACAATATGTTAGTGCGTCTTTTGCACCAACCATTGATTTACCGATACATTATAACGTAGTTCACTGGAGTATCTGTGTGGTTTACAAATCCGGGAATTGTTAGCAAAGAGAATCTTAAGACAGGAAACGAAACACACAGTCAGAAAATATAACATTCTATTAATCATTTCATTGCCGCCACGAGAATACCAATACAGCAACGTGTCATCCACATTCTCGCCTAATAGCTATCTAAGATGTAGTGATAAAATGCACACCCCATATGTCCAATTCTTCGCAGTGCTCCCTGACACATGCCCAATACTTTGAAGTGTTCCCTGTCATGAAAATGAACTATCATTTGATAGACATTCTGCCATATGTCAGGTTCTTGTGAGCACATTGACTAATTTATTTGACATGACTATTTCCATGGCTATGTTAAACTGTATATTTTATCATGATATGTCAAATTGTATTCCTGTCCTTTCAAATTTCATTTCCTGCCATCTGTCAAATTATATTACTTTTCATATGTCAGATTGTATTTTTTGCTATGATATGTCAAATATTCTTTCCGTGTAATGTCAATTTTATATGTAAAATGTACTCCTGTCATGACATGTCAAATTGTATTTCCTGTCCTATTTATGCAGTGTAGCTTGCTGTAATGTGTAGAGTTTTCCGTATTCTGT